ATTTGATAATAAGTGAGACAAGTTAACGATAATTGTTATGGCCACATTTTATACAGATATTTTCCAACATTTATTAAAGACATATAAGGTTCCCAAACTGCTCATATGTAACAATTTGGAATTAAATTGGTCTTTAAAGAGGGCATATTGTGTTTTAGAGTGCACCTATCATGCTATCTTTAGGCAATAGCATAGGTCTCAGATATATAGAAATATATTTTTAAAAAAGTCTATGAGCTGACATCCTCGTGGATTCATCTTCTTATTACAGACACATGCATTTCCTAACATTCGGTCTATATGCTGTATTATCTCTTCGATTTACACACGGCATCTATTGCACGTCTGTCCGTCCTGGGAGAGGGATCCCTCCTCTGTTGCTCTCCCTGAGGTTTCTCCCATTTTTTCCCCTTTAAAACTGTGGGTTTTCTCTGGAAGTTTTTCCTTGTACGATGTGAGGGTCTAAGGACAGAGGGTGTCGTTTTTCTCATACTGATATTCTGAAAAATCTGTGCTGTTGTATTTGCCGTAAAGTGTCTCTACTAAAGGCTATTTTTATGATATGTACAGCACTTTGGCTCGACCAAAAATCGTCGTATAAATGTGCTATATAAATAAAACTTGATTTGATTTGATTTGATGAAGTGTTTTAATACAAAAAAGGAAATTACACTTCCTGTTTCAAAAGTGCTGATTTGGGGTATAAAGCGTTAAAAAAAAAAAGAGGAGGGGGCTGAGCTCATTATAAGACATTACAACATAGACTCAAAAATGGAGTTAAGAGACATCATTTTGACCTGATTATTTCAAAAGTGGCCAACGAGTCAATAAAAAGCTAAATCATTAGGCCATAGCCAATGGGTTTTGAGATTGCAGACAACACGTTTGGCACAGAAAGTTCACCTGCATTCAACCACAGACTACTCCAACCTCACAGGTCTATAGAGGGACTACAAACAGAAGCCAGGACGTTGCATATGTAGGCAGATATCTGTCTATAGAGACAAAACGACTTCAGCCCATTCAGGCGAGCTAGGGCCTGGTTTAGGATTGTTGGCTGTTCCGTTGTTAAAGGCCTGCTTCATCTCTCAGTCCATCTGCTGGAAAAGCTATTTATCATAACAACAGTACAAGTTTTTCTGTCAAAATGCCTCTTTATTTCTCGCAAATGTTTCACAGTCACTGAGTTACAAACTGTTCTACGGGAGATAAAAAAAAAGGTACTAACAAACAATGGAACATAAACAGACAACATGGTTGAGGATCACACACTGACAAAAACAACTTCCGATTGATTTTCAACGCATACTGTAGTAGTGTCTGTACCTGGCCTGGCCTCTGGACACCCGCGGTGTGTGATCCTCCTCATGAAGTTGGCTGGTGTCTGAGAATAATCCTGCTACCGCTACTGTTGCATTAAAACTATGAAAGTGCATATTTAACACAATTTGTTTTTCAATGAAACAGACCTTTAGTCTCAATGAACATTTTCAGAATTTGAAATGATTGTTATAATATGTTGAATTGGTCACAGGCTCTGAAACAATTATATGTTTTATCAAGTTACAAAATATCTTTATGAGATCTATTACATTTATTTATGGACCTACTGAATGAAATAAAAATAGTGAGACATTTCTTCTCCTCCATAAAAGTTAACGTTGTTGTAGATTTGCCTACAGTTCAGGCCTCAGGGAGGAGACTCTGCTACATATTTCACATGTATCTCTAAAGTGCATCTTCTAAACTAAATAATGGCTATAGCAATGAACTCACAGAAGCAATAAACAATGATAATGGCATGATTTCACATTTCTGAGGCTCACTTACATGGTTACAGGACTGGTTTCCCCAAAACAACCTAAGCTACAGTCATAAGGATTCTAACAGTGACATTCTTTGACTTCTCTAACGTTTAAATGCTTTTATGCCTGGAATAAAACTTGATTTTACAATGAGTGCACACTAGTGTTTCTCGTGCAAGAAGTAACTTACTGTACTTTGTGGTGCTTATGGAGATAATTCAACATTGATTCTGTCTGCCCCTTTGTATCAGTCAGGTAGGCCTACTTATAGTTTATCACCCACAATAGGATTAAGTGTGGTTCCTGTTTTTAATTTCCATTTTGATTGTGAGTTTACACAGTTTTACTGATAAATGTGAGCAAAAGCCATTTTAAATGTGTAATAAAAGTGCCACATACATTTCCTTTAGATAATGTAGCTTGCACTGAAAACAAATCATGTTGGTGACAAAAAAAACCTACAACTTAAAAAAATACTAATTTAAGTATTGTTTCTTAAGGGTATAAAGATGATACTTTCTTGTTCAACAAAGATTGTTGTGGAACATTTGCTATGTCTGTTACTAAAAATGAAAAAGACATGTTAAACAAGTGATCACATTTGTGAAAAAGATGAACACGTTAAATGTTTTAATGAGTCTATGAAACAACAGGATGGAGTGCAAATAAAGGGCAATTATATCCTTACAATAAATAATATACAGGTGTATATATTTATTGTGAAGCAGTTGATTTTTTGTCATAACATACAACAAAAGAAAGGCCTAAGAATAAGAATGCCATTTACGTGTCTTGACAAGAAAGCAACTAACTAAGTTGCTAATCATGAAAAAATGGTTGATGTTTTTCTTACCTTCTTTGCACCATCCTGTTTCCCGCACTGGCCGGCCTGGATGTGCACAATTTCCCTCATGACGGCTGTAAGTTGGTGATGAGTAAAGTGTTGGCAGAGATAGAGTTGCTGCTGACCCACTGACTGACAGGCAGGCCGAAGGCTGCACCGTGGGACAATCCTGCAGGCGGGGCTAAAGTGTTGGGATGTGGCCTTCACTCTGAGCACGGTAATGATTGGCTGAAGTTGTTGGAGCCCCGGTGCTGATTGGCTGAAAGGACAAGGATTTTGTCATCACTGTCCCGTTGGAGCCTATATGAAGCATAAGTTTGATGCCCAGCTAAATTAAATGAAACAATAGAGTAAAGAAGAATAGAATGGGTAGATAATTTTATATTTTATAATGAAGAAAATAACTTGTCAACCTGATTTTGGCGTCGTAGCCTATTGTGTATATTTTAGATCACCCTAAGTTTTTTTGCACACTTTTTTTCCAACTTTGTATAGCAAAGTGCATACAAACCTAAATATACACTATACAAACAAGTCAAGGAAAACCTATACAAATACGTTTGTTCTCCAGAGGGGTTCAATAATTACACCCAAAAGCAGTGTAGACGTTTGAATACCAGGCTTTTACTTGTTATGGTATTTCTACAATTATGTAATGCTACTTTGGTTTAAATACAAGATTGTTGTTTTTACACCACTGTTTTAAGAAGGGAAGCACATGAATGTAGCAAAGCACTGAACATGCTTCCCAAAATAAAGTGTGTTAGTTGCAGTTCTCCACTCCGCCACAAGAAGGCGGCCGCTCACAGGGTGAGAGATGGCGTGCTGAATAAAAACCACTGAGCTGCAGTGTTGTGTTCATGGACGCATCATCTCAGCTGTCAAACGCGAATAAACGTCACCTGGGACTACATTACAATAATTGTTCCCAAAACAGACCGCTATTTATTCCACCATTATCACCTTACTCTACATAAACTACATCATTTATTTTCTAACCGGTAAGTGTGTCTCTATTTGACGTCTCTATCCACAGCCATTGTCAATTTTAAACACATAGTCAAATTGATTGAGTTAATGGTTAAACAGCTAGCCGCCAGCAAAATGCAGATAATAATATACAGTGATGCAAATTAGTCGCTTTTCGGCGCCTCCCGCTTTTTTAACGCTGATTTGGGTGACTTGTGTAATTCCTGGAGAACCGAAGAGTTTTCGGTTTGGGGGGGGGGTGGGGTCCTTCAGTCCGTCCGACTGACGGACAACTTCTCACTTCAAAAAAAGAGAAGAAATTTAGATCGC